CAGATAGCCCTCGTGTAGCTTTGCGCGAAATTAACAAAAACAACACAAGTTATTGATTACCAATGTCCAAAGTCACTCACGTGCTGCCTTTGAACTACTTTTTCTATCGCCATTTATGCTCAAATTGATGTCCTTGATTATCCACTTGATACCGCAAATTCCAAAAGGTCCATCATTATCAAATTTTTTATAAATCCTCCACTGTACGAAGATGTCGGTTTCTAAGACACGTTTAAGCAGACCAAAGACACAAAGGTCCATTGGAGTAGCCTAGAGACTATAGTGTAGTTGAATGGAATTGCTGCGGCGCCAATTTCTTCGGGAACGTAAAACAAATGTTCGATTGATGCAAATACTTTATAAATTTTGAATCCATGTTTATCAACTTGCTAACGATACCACTTTCATCAAAATATCTTCTTGAGCTAAAAGGTTCTCTTTCGTATTCATATCCTTCACTTTTGTGCATGAGGTAGTGATTCCAGATTAATTGAATGTGGTTTCGGAGGTCATTGTTGTTCTATATGCTCAGATGTTTGATTTTTTTTTTACTTAAAGAAAATACAACACAACGTGCAAATACAAGCTCAAACATCAATTCATCTACAGTGAATATAAAGAAACTTCACAAAGTCCACCAATTGAAAAACTACCCCAACTCTACCCAACAAGTGACGTCTGATCACTAAGAAGGGTTAATTATCGTTTGAGAGAACTACATACTGAAGTCTCCCATTTTTGAAAAGTTACTTGGCTCTACATTGCTTAAAATCTCACTGTTCAAATATCCATCTTCGGTAAAGAACGACATAATTATCCGATTATTATTCTAACCTGGCGGCAATGCATTATTAGATGGCGTGAAACTTGCTGTGAAACAATGCGCTCCCGCATTAGCATATAATTTTCAAACTGTAACCCTTCGCAGTGATCACAAGTCAGTTGTTACAAATTCTTGGTAGTAGTTTAGGTTGTGGACTTTGTAAGGTTGATTTATACTAGCTGTAGAGGAATGTAAGGTTTGAGCTTCTATATGAAAATTGCCTTGGCTTTTCTATAAGCAATCATATATACTCTTGACTTTAGAGTCATTTCACCAGATAACAACGCATTATGGTTTCTTTATCTATGCTTCTGCAAGCACTCCTTTCCTATTTCATTTGAGCGTTATCTAATCTCGTTTTCAGACGTGTTTAAGAGCCATATTATAATTCTCTGGCTCTTAGGTTTATGTATGGGTTTGGCTGAGTTTTGAAGTTTAATATCTTTGGCTCTAATTCTCTGGCGCTTAATAAAATATTTTTTTTGTGTGTGACAGCTCTATTTTCTTCCAGCAATGAAATAATTATATAATTTTCGTTAACATTTCTCGTATCTTCTTTTTTAGTCTGACTTCCCTGGTTTGTAAGAGTTAGAATCCATTGTGGAAATTAGTATTCAGATGGTCTTCTGGTAACTTTACCACACTCGCAAATATTATTTGGGTTATTTGTTTCTGGTTACTGTTCTTGTATTATATTAGTTTGGGAGAACAATCTTTCCAGATTCCTTAATATTAAATTTCTGACCAGAGCAAGCCACTGAATAAAAACGAAACTAAAATTCAGCTTGTATTCAAAAACCATAAGTTCACAGTTGACGTTTTCTATATCACTTGCAGAAGTTGTCCAACCTCTCAAACTAAAAGGAATTAATTAGATTTACTTGCATGTGGTAAAGGAAAGCACTCGCAGAGATGTATCCAAACCTGAACTCTTAACTGATTCTAACTGCCACTCACATCTCGTTCTTGCTAGCGTTTCTTCTCTTGTCAACAGCAAGCTGTACGTCTAGCACTATGGTAGGGTAGCGTATCGGTGCCTTGAACAGCTTGAGGGTGCTGTTCGTGGAGTCAGAATTTGGAAGTAATCGAGTTAGACGTTATTCTAGAATCACTTTGCTACTGATAGTTGACGAAGACAGTTGTTCACTTCAATCTATTATAATGTTTTCGCTGTGTATACTGTATGCAAATGTTCTATGTTGTACGTACATTATCTTACATGTACCAATATGCTATCTTGTGTACTTTACCTACATATATGAAATGATATATTGCAGTACTCTGTGATGCCTGCTCTTGATGTAACCCTGTTACTTTATACAAAAACATGCAACTGTTACACATACATAACTATATATGACCTTCAACATGCATCAACATATACTGGTGTCCCAGTATAATTACTAAATATTATTGGGTATGTGGATTGCACTTTAAAAACATTTTAATCATGATTTAAAACATGCCCATAAAAACCTTAAGAACTTTGTGTTCTAAAATAACTAATTCGAGAAATAAATGATCTATATTTACAACTTACAAAATGTATCATTAGAGATGTCGCTTCCTTATCTGAAATCCTATTTTCAATCGAATAACGTGGTTAATATTTTCTCTGGCAAGCCACAGATGCATCTATTTTTTTGTAATAAGTTCTATTGCTCTATACACAATTCACTAATAATGTTCCTTGCAATGCAAGAACAGTTACTTTTAAAAAACAACTTTGTAATATGCTCAGGAGAAGTGTGATGTGATGGCAAGTTACTAATGACCAAAGATGCTTTAAATGTTAACGTAAACAGAGTACCATAAAAAGATTGTTTTGACCAGAACGTTTCCACATCTCCCTTTCCTTAGATAGATGTTTTAATAGATGTGGGTGGAAAGGAAGCCTAAAAATACAAAATTCATATATTTTTGACAAGTCTTTAAAGTAACATGATGCACTACAAGCGAACCACAGTACTTCTGGATCGATTTAATAAAGCTTTAGTTAAACAGAAAACCTATTACGTACTTGTGGAATGTTTGAGCAGAAATTTGATCAAACTCACCAGGGAATTCTTAGACAAGTTTCATTTAAGTGTCTTGCCAGAGTACACTAAAAGAATGAAGATTTGATACCACATATGAAAAACTTAATCTGAACGATAAGATACTTAATAAATCTTCCATAAACTTGTTAATTTTCTTGAAAATCTAAAGATGAGTCAAAAATTCCCCTAATGTAGTAATAATACACACATAACACTTGATTTTTTCTTGTCAAGTAAACCATCTGCTAATTTATGCTAGCCATTATGTAGGAATGCATTAAGTGACTTCACTAACCATAGTTTACTATGGTAACAATTAGGTCACTTCAGTTACTAGAAAACTGTAAATAGCATTTATACAGATACTCAAACAAGAAATCTACATATATATTCACAGATACTGCAGTTAAATAAATATTGATTAAACTAAGTAATAAGATTTTGATATCAATTTCAAATGAAAATAAGTTTGAAGCTTTTTTTTTTTATTCCAATAAATGTTATTTAAACTATTAACTGCAAAATTCTTTGCAACTAAACATAACAAAATGATAACACACTCATTACTTTATGAACTTCACACTATTCAAATAGAAAAACCAAAACAAAATTTATGATGTTGATGTAGACTCAGAAATTTTATAAGATAACATTTCTTTAGTACTTATTTGCTATTTTCCAAACTTTTTCCTTTTTACATAAGACATTTTTAGCTAAAAATACTAAACCAAGTATAACTGTTGGAATAAGAAAAAAAATAATTATACTTTATAATCTTTGCTTTTGAGATTTGATGAAATAACGTGTACGCAAAACTAAGTCACAAATACATTAAAGTAAAATCCGTTTATTTTTATCAATATGAAAATATAAAAATATACAGTCTTCTAAAAAAAAGAAATTTTTTTTTTTTTGAGTACATTGTTACCAGACTAGGAATTTTTGCAGTCCCATGGCATTTCAAAATTTCAAAAAATACTGACATTGTGACTGCAAATCATGCACTGGCACAAAAATTAAAGGCAATGAAAACTTTCCCCTCCCTACCTCAAAGTATTCAGAAATAATGCTACTGAATACAGATAGTACTTATAGTACTATAATGCTTACTTTAGTTTTCATTTTTCACAATTTTATACATTAAAAAATTAACGTTTTCAAAACTTGCAAACTATTAATTTACCAGTATATATCAGAACACTTAAAGTACAATAAGTGAACTTTTTTTAAAACCTTTCTTTCTACTAAATATGTATATATAATTTTTTTTTATCTTGACAAAAACAAACTAATTTCAACTCTTAAAAACTTTGGCACTTATCATAGTTTACAACCTAACCTAGGAACTAAGAAAACTACATTACATAAAGCACTTTCAATTGGATTGCACTACTTAATTTGTAAAGATACGTTTGCAAATATGTATCACAAGTCAAACATCTTTGGCTTGGGAGGATAATCCTTATTACATGGCACAAAGTTACAATATGTACATAGCTAGCCCTAAAAGTAGAATATATCAGTAGCAAATAATACAGACCATTTATACACAGCTGTGAAAAAAAAATACAAGGAGCATTGTTATGTTTGTCTATCTTTAAATCTTCTTGTATAAAACAAAACTGCTTAACCTGACTGCTCCTATGGATAAAACAAATTAGAGAGAATGGAAAGGTCACTTGTCCAAAACAGGGTTTACTCTAAATCCTAGGGAGGAATCTACTATGCATTACACAGAAAAAGCTGAATTTTTGTTATTTTTTTTCTGCCTGTCATAAGTCTCTAAATAAACATTTTTTAGTGAAAACAGGAATTACTGATGCTTTCCTTACAGTCCCTTGTTCCCTTAACATTACAAAGTTATTAAACAAAATTACTATGTAAATACATAAAATATTTTTCCTTTCCCCATGTTAACTGTTTAAAGTGAAAAATATTGTACCATGATAAAAATTCTCAGTCATTTATTAAGTAAGAACTTCCACTCTTAAATTAGGATTATGTCTAGAAGTATCATACTTGCCAATGATAATAAACATAGTATACTACAGCAAACGTAACACCTCTTGTTAGTATTTATAATAGAATCTTAAGTTTATGAAGTGTGAAAATGTTAAAATATGGTGGGAGGCAAGTGTCAACCTATGCATCTACAAGTGTATTAAAAAAAAAATACTTTTAGCTGCACTACCAGAAGTTTTCAAAACTTTGGAAATATCAGAAAATAATCTTTAACTTACTAAAACAAAAATAATTTCATACTTTCTAATTACATGTAATTTTAGAAAACAAAACATACAAAATAAAAAAAGCACATCAACTTTAAAGCTAACTTTCATAATAGTTTATATTGATTAGAGACTGTTCAGTTTTTGGGAAAACAAAAAGCTATTAAAATATATCTTCAATAACCTTTATCACCACTGTAAATCCACAAATTTTGAAGAAGGTCTCTCCCGGTCAAGTCTTGACAATAGAGAATGCCATTCTGCTCCAGGTGCTGCAGAAAATCCCTTTATTTTTCCTCTAGCTGTCATTGTGGGCTGACTGGTAAGCTCTACCAGAATATTACAATTTTTTTTTTTAATCAAATGGCTTATTATTTTACAAACGTGTACATGTTTATTTATACAGAATTTGTGTTAAACAACAAAAATTGCTTTAACTTGTTATTTTGGAAGATGCTTATACATTCAATTTATTATGTAAGAACAGACACACATAAAATAGAATATTAATTTGATCAGAAATTTTAGAAAATCCACTGAACCCTAAATTTAAGCTTTTACACATTTTACAAGTATTTTCTGAAGTAGACTCATGATATTATAAAATTTAGTCCTTATTTGCCTAATAGTAAAATATAGTTTTTTGTTTATGTAAAAGGTATGTGGGTGCCTTATCATTAACCATTTTCATGTTATTTGGACACTGAAGTCAACTATTAAATGAAATGATACAAAAGTAATCAAGATCTGTTACAGAACTGAGAACCAGTTACAAAGAATTTCAAGTGGAAGTTTCCAGAATGAAACTCCCTTCAACCTCCTCCACCACTTGACAACTTTGCAATAATACAGCATGAAAATGAAATAGAAAATATTTTAGTTTTCTCACACCCAAGTCTCAAGAACATAATACAGCTTAATCATTTTTCAATTATATTTACCCCAATTTGAAAAATAAACAATCTTTATTTACCTGATATGGCATTGAGCATTTTCAGCTTTGGACTGTAAGGAATTCCTAATTTCTGGAGATCTTTGTCTGTGAGTGTCAGGAATATTCCTAGGTCAATCTAAACAAAATATGAATAAATATTAAACAAACATCCAATAACTTTTGAAACACACACTTAGTGTCACATTACCTTAAGCAATGAGCCCCTCAGATTAATAAGAAAAGAAGCATTTATGACGGACTGATTTCTGATGATATGACAACTTTGTGACTTATCCCTTTCATAAGGCTAAGAATTCACATTACTTTCATACATTCCTTTTAAGCATTATCTAAATCTATTCCATCTATCTATATTTATCTGGATGTTGTTAGCCAAAAGCACAAAACCTTTATAATGAACCATTTCTAACAGTCACCTCATTTTGTATAAATACATCAGTGTACTTCATCAGTCCCAGTTTCCGAAATAGTTCTGGCAAGTCAATCACCTCTCTCAACATTGCAGCTGGCACTTTGGGGTACACACTATCAAAATAATTACTGTTGCAGAAAGGACCATCTCCTGAACAACAACAAAAAAAGTGACTTTACAAAAAAGAACAAAACTATACTTATTACTAATGCCACATGGTAAATTATTTGTTATATACCCATTTCTATACACACATACATATAATTTTGTACATCTGTACATTCATGCCCATGAACCACAAACATATGCAAACATAGTCTTTCACAACATTTGAAATTCATAGAATGATTAATATCTTTTCAATATTAAATGTAATGTATACAACGTCAATGGCAAGTTAGTATGACTCAGTTCCATAAGAAGTTTCAATTCTAGATTATTTAATTTTCATATAAATAAAAAACTACCTCGAATGAACTATTTTCAGTACTAGTGGGATGAAAGCAAACAACAGTGAATTTCTGATGTATTATATATTAATAGTGAAAACAACCTGGAAATTTTACTTCAGTAGAATTTTCTAGAAACATTTTACTTCAGCCAATCACTACTATTTTAACAAATACCTTCTCTAGAATCAATTTCTAATAGGTGAGTTACAATCTTTTAAAGGCACCATTGTAGGATTGGGTGGAAACATACACATTCATGAATAACAAATTACATTAAAAAAAAAGATTATGATATGACACCTACCATTTTGAAAGTGAGAATGTTGATCTACTGGCTTGAAGTTCTGCATGTCTGTTTGGTCTCTTTGGGAAAATCCCCACTCTGAACTTAAATCATAATGTTCCTCCTAATGGTACATTAAAACAATATTTTATGGAAGAAAAACAAAACTCAATTTTGTTAACAATTTTTAATTTTTTTGTAAGGAAAGTTAAACTACACAAATATTCAACATTTTATTGAACAATTTTCACCACAGGAAACCAAAATTCAAAGATTTGAACAGGTTTTACTAAATATTTATTTTTCCTAATCTGAACTATTGCTGTATGCCAAAATATAGAGCAGAAAAAATATGACAAACTAAACTTACTTAAGAAGAACAAGCTATTGGAATGTAATTCTGTGACAACACAATTTGTACTTCTACAAGTAACAACAATATTATAGCTAGTATTTATCAAATGACCATAACAGTTAAGTATTAAAAGTATAAGCACTTCTAAAATATGCTTTTAATATATAAAGAGCTATGTAGCTATGCATTTTAGAAGTAAGTACTACCATTAAAAAAAGGGGGAGCCATTTCTGAACAAGATTTAATTTTAGATGTTTAAACAGCAAAATATACTTTTAAATTAATTTATTATGGTAGAGAATTAATATGTCATCAACCTGGAGTTTATCACTAGTTACTTCTAAGTAACATTAATAACATTAAAACAAAATAAAAAAAAAACATTGTACTTAAATGAAAAGTTATCAGTAGTGTAGTGTTTAACAAGATGAATATATTTAAGTCTACATAATTTCATGAGTTTTAGAGTTAAAATTAAAACAAAATAAACTGATAGCAAATCTATTGCATAAGTTCAATTAATTATATTTTATCTAATCTTAACCTCACCCTCTAAGATAACCACGTTGCTTCGCACAAATAAACCCCAAACAACCAAACTCGTGTGATTAGTCTAGATTAAGTGATTGAAGCTAAGTTTAAGTCAACATAGTTAATGATAAAACAAAGTTTTAGTTACTTTTACGGAATGGAATGTTAACCAGTGTTTCATATCTGACATGTTTGATATAATAGATTAAGTGATTGAAGCTGAGTTTAAGTCAACATAGTTAATGATAAAACAAAGTTTTAGTTACTTTTATGGAATGTTAACCAGTGTTTCATATCTGACATGTTTGATATAATGAATACAAAATGACTTCATTCTCTAGATATAAACTTGTTAAATGATCATCAAGCAAATTTTTATCTGTAGAAAGAAGTTGTTTGTGTCTGTATTCACTACAACACAGTTGCCATTCTATATTTATTCAAATTAGAAAAGTAATAGAAAAATGGTTATTCATTATTGTGAAATAACATTAAAAATCACAACTGGAACAGTATCATTTTGATGTATATCACTAAAACTAATTTATAACAATGATTGACTTTAACCTACAAGTCACAAATTGATATATTCACACTTATTTTAAAGTAACAAAGTTATAAGAAAATTTCCTAATGTACCAAATAACTGCAACTTAAGCAATGCAACTCAGCTCCCCCTCCCCCCGAAACTAATACTAACATCAGAGAACTTGCTTCAAGCTCTGATCTTTGTAAGAACTTTTATTGGTTTCTGTATGTTACTTTTTCTTTCTGGCTATCAAAAATTATGTAGCTAAAATTTTTGTAGTATTTTTTTCTCTGAATAAAGCAATTCTTCCATACGTTTGAAAGAGCAACTTTTTTTCCTTGTGAATCATTCTGTTATCACACAAAGTCCTTAATTCTTCTTAAGGTAAAAGCTTAAAGATTTTGAACTGTATGTATTCTAGTTGATGTTACATATTATGAGTTATAATTAACATTATAACTTATGTACATTTTGAAACAAAAGGTTTGCATCCTTAATCCCTCCTATTTTGTTACTAATTTATTTGTCTTCAGTGTGACTACACTATATTGGCTCAACAATTTGAATGTTGTTGACACACACACACACACCCACCCATCAAAGACCATATTAAAATTACAGTAGGGTGAAATTTTACATTGTGGAAGATACTACTACAAAATCATCTCTATTACAGTTGAAAACCTAACATATGGTTCAAAAAAAAAGTATCAAACTCAACTCAATGAAAACCAGCCTTCAATCAACAGTTAAAAACAGTCATAAAAAAGTTTACTTGAAAACACTATATTCATGTTCATTTCTTACCTTCAGTGCTTCAAAAACATCTCTGTTACGGCATTCTCTTAATTTGTCTCTGAAAAGATACTCTGGAGTGGATTTAGAGAAACCTTGTCCGGCCCAAACACTTGTTGGAACTCTGGCTTGAGCACTTACCGGTCTCTGCATAGCTTTTGAGTAATAAAAACAAAGTTAACAGATTGGAGGGGAATAAAAAGTTTTTAACCATAGAGTGGATAGACAGATGTAGTACTATTCACTACAGTAAACCTTGTCAACAGATACCACTGTGAAATTATACACCTAAAATTTCTGTACTTTTGCTATTATGTATTAGTAGTGCACTGTTGTAACTGAGCATTATTGGTGGTGATATCAGTTTAATGATAAGGCTTAGCTTTGCAAAGTGTATATGATGCTCTTTGTCTTAAACTAAAATCTACTGATCAGGTATTGCAGAAATTATAAAATAATTTTACTGACACTGAAGTGATGCTTTTCATTAATATTTCATTCAAATACATTTTGCATTAAAATATTCCAACCTTGTGCAGTCATATTAACATTATTTTGTATATTGCGAGTTGTCAAGCATTTCTAATTTCTAAATCTGAGCCTTTTATTTTGTAATTTAATACAGGTAGACACAGTTATCTAGCATTTTTACAAACTTAAGTCTTACAGTAGATTGTTTTCAATGTTTGAGGATGATGAGGTTGTGCACATTTGTTACTTTACAGCACGTGTAGTTACTATAATTCAACATGGCTGATTACATAGTCATTAATTTTTTTTACTCATTTACCTTTTTTATTAATATACACTTAATTTGATTACTTTGTTATTTAACTTTTAATTGAACACAAATAAAGAATACAAACTCAAAAAAATACTCCCAAAAATTATAAGTCACCAAAATCTTCAAATTTATGGTACACACAGTAAAAACTGCTGCAAGTTTACACTTGAACAATGTTAGATTAAGTTTTAAAAGTAAAAACCAGATGACTTTTTGATCTTATATTGTACACACAATGTATGATTACATCCTGTTACTAATGTATAAATTCAATTACTTGCAAATAATTTACTTAATATGTTATGAAATCAGAGTAATTCATAACATTTAGTTAATCTTTCAGCTGCCTATCAGTATGTTTCAATAAGACAAGTTGTTTCCATTTTACCTCTTGTAGCTTGAAACTTCCCTTCTTCATAGTCAAATGGGAATGCATGCTTAAATGCCCTCTCGCATCCAACAGTTCTGAGATCACATCGATTTGTATTTTCTCTACACTGATCTAATGAGCCACTATGTAACAGATCAAATAAAAAAACAAAAAAAAACAGTTCATTCAAGTACACACATCCCACCCCAAAAAAAATTAATATTTGCATTTTCAGACACCGTTAAAATAAAAGCTTTATGGATGCCAAAACATTCAAACATATTTAAAAGCAGGAACAGTATTTGGTTTTAAGACAGATGAAAGTACAGTATAAATGGACAGAATTACTTACTGAAACTTAAACACAGTTACGTTGTTTATAACTTAAATGGATTTGGGCAGTAATGTCATTTGTAATTGATAAAATAAAATGTTTCACATAAGTTGTATTTTTTTAATGTTCCTTTACTTTTCTAACGATAAAAGGATACAAAGATTAAAATTATTACTATTCTCAATTTAAATATATTAGTTATTTAACCATATACTGATAAAATGTACACAAAATATTTTCTGTTAAGGACATATTTATAGCTACTTTCAGCTATTCAGTAAATCTATTCATAGATTTCCACAATAAGTGGTGTATATATATCCTATCTATGAAGTCCCAGCTATCACCGCTTTCACTTGAGAAATTGACCTGTATTTTACAAGAAAGCTGGCTGGCAAGAGTATTATCTAAACTTATCTAAACATCATTTAAGTCTTAAATTCCCTTTATTTTCAAGTTATGAGTCTTTTTATTATTATGTTACTACAAGTTCTTCAAAAATACTTTTGTTAAATACCTTGCTAAAGATGATGTGGACATAGTTCTTGACAAAGATGGTCCACCAGCTGCAACTGACATTGATAGCCCAGCTAATCCTAGAGTATCTTCCTTGTCCACGGACAGTCCTCTTCCAGCAATAGGTCGTGGTCCAACAGTTGTAACTGGAAAGCTTGGCTGTTTTTCCCAGCCATATGGCTTAGCTAATACATTTCATAAAGAACAAAATAAATTAAATAACTTTTCCAATGTTAAAATTTTACTGGTTTATAGCTGTATTTTTAGAATCTTGTCAAAATCTCAAAAGAAAGTAAATCACATTTATCACATTGTAATTTTACTTTTTTTGAGCATAGTAGTAAGCTTTTGGTTTTTGCTCCTTCAAATGCAATACTCCAATTAAGTGTTATTCTTTCCCTAAATCATCATTTGGTTGAAGATTTAATGATTTTATTATATATCAACTTCCTCAAGATCTGGACAGAAATTAAATTCATTCCCAATTAATAATGGTCCATCTTAACAATATTTTAATAGATTATTCCTGTGTTCTAAATAATCTCTTAATAAAGATCTGACTAAATATATTCAGTCTAATTCATATCATAAACTATGGCTCTATCCACACTTTGAAACAGCAAATTTTGTCATCCGAAAACAATTATTAGTTGTGTAATGAAGTACTGGATTTCAAATTGCTGAAAAGTATATTTTGTATTTATGTAAAAAACACAACTCTTCTGTAGTGAAGTTTTTGTTGTTGTTGTTTTTTTTACTTACAACTTAAACATGTGCACACATAATACTCGACACTTGTTTGCCGGTGTTTAAAAGATTTCTTTCTAAAGCTATCCTTCACTTGTAATTCAAAATCCTTAATACTGAAAATATTTAGAGTAAGTCATTATGATTTATGATATTTGCCAAAATGATGAAGAGTACATTTTTATTTATTTAAGTTTAAACAGACTTAATATAGCAACAGGTGTTCAAGTTATGATTGGTTTTTAAACCATCATAGTAAACTATTATAAAATCTTTATTGCTGACCTTCATCAGAATTTAAAGTATTTTTGTCATCTGAAAACCCATGTTGAATGGAAGGGTCTAGGCAAATAGAGTGAACCGGACTCTGTCTTGGACTGATGCTTGGACTAGATATACTACTGCTTCTGCTGCTCCCAGAAAAACCTGATACAAAAGGCATCATTTTAATAAACCATTCTGCTACAATTCTTAAATACCTTTACTTTCTATGCTATTTGTATCAAAATGTTTGTCTAGTTCTGAAGTATTATATTCACAAGCTTAAATGATACTAAATTACTAGGCACAAATAGAATGGAACAATGCTTTGCCATCAACAAGTAATTGGGGGGGTAAGTAAAACCGAATTTCAATTAGAAATAATTGTTTTTATATAACTTGCATTTCAGTTCTTTTAACAATACTTTTAAAACTGTTAATTTTTTTCCTTGAGATAAATATCACCTTCAAGGAAATAAAAGAGTTAAAACATTCAATAATTCATTGTAATTTATAATCAAAAAGAGAGTCACTACTGACAAATAACTATATATCAACAGTTACTAAGTCACAAAAACAAAGACAGTTCCAGCATAAAGAATGTTTTGGGTACCATATAATACAAGTCACAACACTGAAGTAATTATGTAACAGTATGCCCCTTCTATCTCCAAATTGTAAAATTAAAGCAGTTCAAAGAATGGTGTTAAATGAAGCTTCATAAACAGTTTTCTCTCAATAAAAATGTGCAAAGATTCAAAAGCTAAAAAAATATCAGTGACATTTTCATATACAACTTAAATAATGAATAACTGTACAAAAACAACAACTAACTGATTAGGTATAAGACAGTTTGAGAGTAACTATTTACTGACAGATTCTTGTTTCCTGTTGGCAAATATTATTATTAAAACAAAACTCATATAATTATGAAACTATTCCACAAAAAATTAAACAACTTGCAAATCTTCATAAACTGACGATAAGAGTGATGACAAAGGAGAAATGTTTAATATGGCAATAAACTACCAATTAGAAGTTAATTGATTTTATTTAAATACTTTTCCTATACTCTATTTACAAACATAAATTCTTTAACTTGGATTTTATTAACTATTTAGTACTACTGTGTTATATTATTGCATAGCATCATAACACCAAGGTAAAACTGTATAAACTCCAGTCTACAAATTGCTATTACCATGGTACCACAAACCACACTAAGCAAAGTTTATCAATTTTACGATATAGTTTTTTCCACGGTATCTTAAGGCTTAGCATGATTGTATTGAGGTCATTCCAATTTATAAGTACATACAATAAGGGAGAGTTCTTATAACATACTAGGATACAGTACCCTATAACCCGAGCACTGAAGAAGCCCTGAAGAAAAAAGGTTACCATTTAAAAGCACTTTGGTTATTAGGTATCATATCTTTGTTTTAAATTGATTTCTTGAACCTACATTTTTTTTTTTTTTTAACATCATGAATATAACTTGCATATTAATATAGAAAGATGTCTAGAATTACAGGATCTGAATTATATTCCAATATTTACTTACATGCACAACTTACAAGACATACTAGTTAATATTAGATAAGATTCTTGCCAGATGGATTACAGAAACTAGATTTACGATGGTAAGACATGTCAAATATAGAAAAGAAATAAAACAAAGTACCTAATACTTTAATTTATTCAACATTTATCTTATGCAAAAAAAAAGGACAGTAGAATACAAACATAGCTCAGTAAACATTTTACTTTAACTCAAGGAAACAATAACTACAATAACTTTTTTGGAAATTACCAGACAAAAAACAAGACATTACAACATACCATTATTTCTAAAAATCATGAATAATGTTTGAATATTGTACATCTTACTGAAGAAAAAATGAAGTTTCATATAACTTTGACTTAATTTTACAAGCAAGATACTATCAAGAAAATTTCCCCAGAGGAGAAAATAAATTTGGCGGATGTGTGTTAAAGGAAAAGAATTCTTTATCCACAAAACACTAAGGATATTAGCTTATTAACACTGATTTTGTGCCTAAAAAAAAATATGAATATCTACATGCAAGAATGAAGAACATTTGTAATAAGGAGCATAGAACTTTTGTTGTTATGACTAATCAGAAGAGTTTATTATGATAGTTTACTGTATTATAACATTTTTAATGTGTCAAAATTTAATGTCCTTCACTCCTATGAAAAATGCCAAAACTACTACTTCTCTAAAACGTACTATAATCAAAAATATTTCAGCACAAGAGCCGCTCATACTTCATACATATACCATCCAGTTACATGTGCATACTTATGCAATGTGCTGGCATGATGTTGCACAAACATCACACATGACATGAGCACTGTGTTTCGAAAAAAGTTAAGAATTGATCATAATTAAATTTGGATTATCACAGTACCTATATACATATATATTATTAAACCCATGAAACTAACATTTTTAACTACTTTGATTTTCACACTGTCAAAAAAACAGTTATGGTAATAACAGACTAAATGAATAATTTTAAAAAAGAACAAATTTAAGTTCTAGAGGTTTTACTTATTTTTTTTTTATAATAACAATGTTCAATTACCTCTCTCCACAGAGGATGATGTTCTTGGATCAAAATAATTTCCTCCATAGACAGGCCAGTTGTTACGTTTGTTCACATCAATGGAGTTAGAGTAATTCTGGGAACTGACAGGTAACAGATGATTATAGGATATGGCAGGTGTATTGGTACTCTGCAGAAACTGAGTAAACAAAGACAAGAATGTACTGAAATGAGGGTTTTGTAGAGAGTTGGCTGGAGTAAACGGAAGGGAGTTCAGTGGAAGATGAGAGCTGGTCTGAAGGTTGTTCAACAGAAAAACTGAATTGGCTGGGTTAGCTGTTGCTGGAATTCCATCACCTATAGAACCTACAGCAAACATCCGTGGAAACAAGAATTATATGATTATTTAAACATTTATGTTCCTCACTGAAACTTCCTAACAATATAACAACACTCAAGTATCAATATCATTTACAAAGAAGGCAGGGTGGAAATGAACCTAAATCCCAAGAAAGAATCTTGCAGTTCATCAGTACGAGATATTTTATCTATGTGTCTCTCTAACTCTCTCATATATTTCATTTGTTTTACCTCTTTTTCCTAAATTCATTGGTTTAATATAAACAAGAAGAATGAATATTATGGGTCACACAGCTAAATTCAGAAATGAAGAAAATATCACAGTGTTTACCAGTTATCTTGCTCAGTTCTCGGACAAGCTGATCTTGTGGTGAATTTCCTCCATTCATAGACATGGATGAAAGGAACAGAGAGAAAGCATGTTTCTCACAGCAGAGAGGAACATCTGATCTATCTAATCCAAGAAGCTGTCTTCTAACTTCAAAAAGAGCTCTGGAGTCCCTCTCTGCTCCTCTAACAGTGACAGACTAGAAAAAATACATTTGTTGGTATAGAAATATTTTTTGAAAATATCCATTTTAACTAATTACCAATGACAACAAATGTTACATTACAAATAACCAGAATTTTATTTTGAAGCATAAATTTATAAATCATCCAATTTAAGTTTGAAAAGTTACTATAAATATAACCGATATATGCAATTCATTAAAACTTTGAATTTTACAAAAGAAGCATATGTAATATTAAAAGTAACACTAAAATTAAAAACCAGCACCAGTTGTTTTGTTTGGTATGTAAGTGGATTTACAATTGAGTTTTTGTTTCAGATGTAAAAATTTTTAAATCATGATGTTTGCTAAAAACACTTCATAGTAAAACAAAAAAACTACCAATACCTGTGTATCAACTAACTTCACAGTTTATAACGTTTCAAATTATAAATCTTCAGTCTTGTTCTCAATTGAAAAAACAATTGAAGATAGCTTATTGATCAAGACTATTTTTCCAGTAATAAGTCACTGGAAGGCATGATTACTTTTTTAAATTTCAAGTCAGAAAACAAAGTTGCATAACCCATTAATAATATAACATAACTTGGAACAATATGGCACCTATTAGTCCACCTCAGCTGTTCCATCCTCAAAACTAAATTAAAACTATTAATTATTAAATTAAAAATAAAATAAAAATCTTAAAGTCCAGCCCTTA